GTGTGTAAATTTTATTATTATTATTATTATCATTAATACTATTAGTATCTTCATTATTATATTGTCATTGTTGTCTTTATTGTTATGTTATATTATATTGTATTATATATATATATATATATATGTGTGTGTATGAGTATATATATATATGTATATACATATATATATATATCTATGTGTGTGTGTGTGTATGTATGTTTAAATTTATTTTTTTATTTTATATATATATATATATATATAATTATAATTATATATATAATATCATATATATATATATATATTTATATATATATATATATATATAATTATATATATATGTGAACACAAAACTCGATTCTTTCTTTAGACATCTTTCAAAGAGTTACCTTCGTGGCTATGATCGATCGCTTAGCTCACCCACAATGCACTTCATATCACTACCATCCTGGTGGGGTGGTGGTGGTGGTGCTTTAGCCGTGGCTTGTACTTTACTTCTGCTTCTTATCCCAGATGTATGCCATGAGTTTGCAAGGTGAATATTCTAGTGACGAAGCTACCAGATCCAAGATCTTGCTATTCTGCCTGTACGTGCCAGCCAACTGGTTCTTTCTCTCAGTGTTCCCCCATTTAATCTGATAGAAGTATTCTCACATTCAATCTGATATAGTCTAAATTCTGGACTATGCGATGTCACCACCCAACCCGATTCAATCTACTCTCACCCTGATCCCTGCAATCTCGAGACTCTCCTACATTTGCACTTACTCGAGGTATACATTAGGCACTCACACTGGCTTTAGTGTAGTTGCAGCCTGTTTAAGCTCATACGTAGGGAATAGTTGCAGTCTGTTGAAGCTCATACGTACACCGGATGATTTGCAGGCGAATCGACCCACCCCAAGGATAAGCACACCCACTTTTATTCCGGGAAACCCCGCGACATTCAAGGCCATCAGAAGGGCCACTCGCGACCGCAGGAGATCGAACGCTGCATCGAAAGAGACTGGTATTTCAATAGTGACCTGGCCGGTATTTGTTGTCTAACAATGTCAGATAGACAGGCGTAGAACCGCGTGAATGTGTTTCACGTTGTATATCATGATGTGAATATATGAGTATGTGTGTAGATTTACATGTATGTATGTATATTTACATGTAGATCTTATGGTAGTGCAAATGTTGAGTTACAAGTTCGTTCACATATCGAATTGTGAGGGTCGGACTGGCCCTATCTCAGTAGCCTCTCAATAGTCTTACTGTCCTGCTATAAGCTCATCATCGATATGTATTATAGAGCCAAGCCACTTAGTGATTCATAAAGGAACTACTGACTATTCTCTGTACCTTCGTTTGTGAACCCATAGCTTTTGGGCAATTAGTTGAATTAGGGCCTTTGTGTAATCATTTCAAGTAGAGCATTTGTGTAATTAGTTGGATTAGAGCTTTTGTGTGATGAGTTTAATTAGATCTTCTGTGTATTCAGTGTAATTACCGCTGCTGTTCATTAGTTTGATTAACGCTGCTGTTCAAACAGTTCAGATAGTGTTGATTAATTAGTACAAATTCGTTTGTTGAATAAGTTTAATTAGATCTTTTGTGTATTTAGTTTAATTAACGCTGCTGCTGTTCATTGGTTTGATTAACACTACTGTTCAATCAGTTCAGATAGTTTCGATTAATTAGTTTATATACGTTTGTTGAATTAGTTTAATTAGAGCGTCGGTATAGTTCGTATAATTAGAGCGTATGTTAAAGTGGGTTGACTAGCGCTGCTGTTTAATCTGTTTAATAAGTTCAGTTTATTTACTTTGATTACTTTTGTTAAGTTAATTTAATCAGAGCGTCTATTTAATTACTTAATCAACGCTGCTGTCTAATTAATTTCATTTCAACCTCTTTTAATCGGTCGAGCTAAGCTTCTCCTTCCTTCTCATAACTAACACACCACCACGGCTATCCCAGCACAGCGTGATCCTGTCGAACATCAGTCCGAAGTCAATGCAGACTGTTTGTTCTGGAGTGGGGGCAAGGAGTCCTATCTGGCGTTGAAGGCGATGCAATTGCGCACAGCCGAAGACAACACCCAACACCTGGAGGACGACGACAAAGCCACAGAGCCGGTAGAGCACCCCAACAGCACCAACGGCCCTGGGTATAGCCGTGGAGGGTACACCCACGTGCGTGTGGCACAGGAACAGTCAGTGGGTGTAGAGGGTTCTGGTGTGTGTGTGAAGGCTCGGGGGGTGAATGGGAGGACCGTGCTGGTGACGACTATTAATGCGGCGACGTGGGAGGCGTCTCACCAGTGTGTCAGCGTAGAGCGCATCATAGAACAAGCCAGGTATCTGAAGCTGGACTTGTTGCTGATCCCTCTGGACGATTGGGCCAGGTATGGCTTATATATTCAAGGTATACCTATACTTATACCTATACATATACCTATACCTATACCTATATACCTATATACCTATACCTATACCTATATCTATACCTATACCTATACCTATGCTTATCCCTATAGCGTAGTCGGATTCTTATTGGCTGGCGTTGGCGTGAGCACTTACGCTAGTATGAATACACTGATAGACCCGTGGCATTGGCTCGTGTGCAATTACTGTGCGGAAACTTTGTGGGCGAATTAGGCGCGCATCATCTCGTAAAGTATGTTCGGTACCTACATCAATCGTGTGGTACAATTACTCGCATGCTTTGCCGCGGGCGACATCCGCAAACTGTTTTATTGGAGCTGAGGTTTTGGAGTTTTAAATTTTAAGGTTTTGTCTGAGGTATGCCGAGCATATCTGTGTTAAACTAAACCCACAGTACAACTGCACAGTGCAGCGACATTGCTCACTTTGCCTACGCACTCGTTCGTGTGGTTCTATACAGTAACGACGACTATAGGGACGGAGTGCTGGACGGATTAAAGGTGTGTGTGGGGCTCTTGTGAAGGCCTTACGGGTATGAGTGCATGTGCTTGGGGTGGTGTCTGATTGTACTCACACACACATATATATATATATATATACATATATATATATATATATATATATATGCATGGAGTGTTCGTGGGTCGTACGCTCGTGTTGTATGTGACAACCGGTGCATATACATATAGAGTGCAGAATGCGTAGTTCTGTACTCGCCCCGTAGTGCAACATAAATAGAGGAAACCCTTTAACCTTGGAGTCTCGCATGGGTTTGGAACTCCTGTGCCGTCCAATCAGAATCCTAATGCGCATCGACGATTATATGCTCTACTCTATTCTTTATAAGTAGTCTTGTCGCGAATGGGCTTTTCCTGAACGTTGTATGTGCATATGCCGCATGGCAAATGTTTGTGCTGATGTTGTATTAGATCGCAGTGTACGCCTTCCCATCCTACATGCTTGATTTAAGTAGAAGTCTTCCTATCCTACATGCTTGATTTAAGTAGAAGTCTTCCTATCCTACATGTTTGATTTAAGTAGAAGTCTTCCTATCCTACATGTTTGATTTAAGTAGAAGTCTTCTCATCTACTTGTTTAATTTCATCAGTTTCCCTCGTGGTTTGCGATACTCTGTCCGTCGTCTTGTGCTGAGATTACTTTTGGAAGTGTCATAGATGCAAACGCAATTCTTATATCACTGCATGGTCAGCGCTTTGGGCAACGCTAGTGGATCGCGGATTCACATCTTTATCAGTATTATCAGTATCTTTTTAAGGGTTTTAGTTTTAGCCTAAAACTTATCAGTATCTTGATCACTGTATCTCCAAACAAAAAAGGAACTGAATAATTCGGGGCTCCGACCCAACCGCTTGATTTTCGGCGATTTGGGGTTAGAGGAAGTTCGGGACTGGCGGATAAGCGTGTTTGGCAAGGTATGCCGATGGCTTGCACTCGTTTTCTATGCACCTGTTTCCAATACCTCAGGGCTTGCGAGTACGGACGACCGATGTTATCTGTGGTGCATTCTGTGTAGTGATACGTTACTGTTCATATATAGATAGTATCAACACGTTATGTGTATACGTGTGCGTGCACATATCAGCAAGCGTACTGGACACACGTACAGGTGCACTTCGGTCAACTACAGTCATAAATATCTGTATGGACGAGATGGGTGCGGTCGGTTGCCTGGGTCTGTTGCTCGTTCCGTGGTGGCATATATATATATATATATATAGATACCTTTGTCCTTATTAGAGCATTTGTCTTTATTAGAACATTTGTCTTCGCCTTACCAAACTTCAGCGTTTGTTTGTATACCGGTATTGACATGCCGCTCTACACGCATGCGCTTAGTAAACCTGCGCATTTGTCCCACAATCACACATGACTCGCCGACCTCATTAGTGCTGAGGTTAGATCTGTGCACTAGTCGTCTCTGCGTGCTGTTGCCTTTTGGCGCCTCTGCCTGTGCACTATATCCACCACTTCCGCCGCCATGCACGATATCTTCAGCCAAACATATCATTTATA